AAACTTTTAGTTATAAAATGAATGCATTCTAGGGATCTAAGGTACAGGGAGGTGACCGTAGTTAATAAGAGTGTATCATGTTATAGACTTGAAAGTCATTAAGAGTAGACCTCAAATGTTCTCACCCCCCAAAAAAGTAATTATTGGTGGTGATGGAGGTGTTACCACAATAAGGTTAGATAATAATCACTCAATATACACAAATATTAAATCATCGTGTTGTATACCTTAAATTTACATGTTATATCTCAATTATATCTCAAAGCTGGAGGGAGGGCGAATCTGCATTTTAATGACACCCTGCCACCCCCCCAGATAGTATTCGCAGCAGCACTGAGAAGCTGTTAGGATCTCCTGGCTGGTCTACTAATTCCCTCCATTATGGAGCCGTGATGAACATAAATGACACTTTGAGAACTGCAGGAAGTGCAGTGTCAGAACATGGCTCATGTCTATTCAGGAGGGTCTCAGGTACCATTATTAGCGTGGTCTGCTAACCCCATTCAAAACAGGAAGAAAGGCTACATTTCAGAGGTTTTTAGAAACAAAAAGGCAGTCATTTCCCACACAAGGTCTTTGACCCTCTGCATTTTATCTGCAAGTCCCAAATTCAGAATCCACGATCTGGAATGTCACAGGTCATCTTGGGCAAGAGAAACGAGTGTGACAGATGACACACTGACTCGTAAAAGCATTTGTCTAACAGTGACTCATCGCATTTCAGTGGGCAGAGCGTCACACACCCAAGCTTGCAGTCACAGGGACAGGGAAGCAGAATTCTCCTGGGAGTAAACAACTTGCTTCGGGGTGCATCACTGGCATGGCAACTTTTTACATGGCTATTGATCCCTTTTACTTTGTAATTTTGTATCTTCCTAGACCGGCATCCGTTTTATCGAGTCTTCTAAATTTATTGGGGTGAAGTTCTACTTAATAGTTGGGATTGACTTTGTCAATCAGTAGGCCCCTTTCTCTTTCCAATGTCTGTGTCTTCAGCCAGCTACGACTTTATACCCCTCCTTCCACAGGAGACATTTGGCAATATCTGAAGACATATTTGACTCAGCTGTGGAAGGAGGTGCTACTGGCATCTAATGGGGAGAGGCCAAGGATGCTGCTAAATATGCTACAATGTACAGGATTATCTTGTATATAGGACTATCCCGCAGCAAAGGATTATCTTGCCCAAGATGGCAGTAGTGCAGATTGAAAACCCTGGTCTGTTGGAATCTTCTCTTTTTGAGCAAACCTCCCCTTTTAACAACCAGTTTTGGTTTTATTGATCAAGTGCTGGAATCTTTTATTCCTTCTAGCTTCTTGACTTGCATATGGTTTACTTGCTTTGTCTTTTTTTTTCAAATGAACTTAAGTCTATAAACTTTCTTCTTAAAAGTGATAGGCTATGGATTTTTGATACATGGCACTCACTGTCCATCCCTAGGAGGTTTGTAATCTGGTTTGGATTCTTGAACAAAAATTGTTTTAAAATATGTTCTACAATAAGAAGACCCAAATATATGCTGCCTGTAAGAGACCCCCTCCCCCCCCGAACAAAAAACTCAAACAGGCTGAAAAAACACGCACACAAAAAACAAAAAAAAATCACTTTTGGAGGACTTCAAAGGAGAGATCAACAGCAATACAGTCATAATAGGGGACTTGAACACCCCACTGACTTTACTGGATAAATCCTCTAGTCAAAAAAATCAACAAGGAACCCGACTGGCGTGGCTCAGCGGTTGAACATTGACCTATGATCCAGGAGATCAAGGTTCGATTCCCGGTCAGGGCACATGCCCGGGTTTTGGGCTCCATCCCCTGTAGGGGGCATTCAGGAGGCAGCCGATCAATGATTCTCTTATCATTGATGTTTCTCTCTCTCTCCCTCTCCCTTCCTCTCTCTGAAATCAATAAAGACATTTTTTTAAAAAAATCAACAAGGAAATAGTTACTCTAAATGACATACTAGATCAGATGGATTTAATTGACATTTACAGAACATTTCACCTCAAAGCTGCAGAGTATACATTCTTAAGTGCACACGGGACATTCTCAAAGATAGACCACATGTTAGGACACAAAACAAGTCTCTACAAGTTCAAGAAGATTAAAATCATATCAAGTATTTTCTTGGATATTTACACCATGGAATACTATGCAGCTATAAAAACAAAGACTCCCTTACTCTTTGAGACAGCATGGTGGGACCTGAAGAGTATTATGCTAAGCGAAATAAGCCAGACAGAGAAAGACAAGTGTCACATGATCTAACTCATGTGTAATCTGATGAACAAAATAGATCCGGAGACATGGAAGCATGGAACAGACTGACAAATCTCCGAGGGAAGAGGGTGGAGGGGAGAAACTAACCTAAGAACTTATATACATATATGCATAACCCATGGACACAGACAATTGTGTGGTGAAGGCCTGGGGGGAGGGGTGCAGGGGGGAGGAAATCAATGGGGATAAAGGACATTTGTAATACTTTCAACAGTAAAAATAAATTTAAAAATAAATATGTCCTACAACTTTCAGTTGACTTTTTTGAAAACCTTTTGTGAGACCATGTTAGATTCATAAAAGTCTGATTCACATCTGCTTGGTGAGTTTTCTCTCCTCTTTAATATGAAATTTCTAGTAGTGTTCATCACAATATCTATATTAAAATTGATATTCCTGCTTTTAGCATTTTTCTAGAATGTTTTTCTATCATTTTTTACTCTGTCATTTTTACTTAGGTCTCTTAAGCACATTAAGCTGACTTCTTGAAAATTTTAACGGAAGTTTAACCCATTTATGTTTGTTGTACTTACATTTAGTTTGATTTTCATCTTATTTTGTGTGTTGTCCTTTTTTTCCCCACACTTCCTTTCTGTTTTTTCTGATGTATACACAATTCAAGTATGATACCCTGAGTCAACTGGCTTTTCTTTTTCCATTGAATGCTAGTTCAAGTATAGGATTCTATTTAAATAATTTCTGTACAACTTGACAGATTTTTTTCCCATCTTGCTGCCATCTAGTGTTGTCTGTGGAGTTGTATGCTGACCTGAGCTTTTTTTTAAAAAAAACAACACATATTTTTAAAATATATCTTTATTGATTTCAGAGACAGGAAGGTAGAGGGAGAGAGAGAGAAACATCAATGATGAGAGAGTCATGGATCGGCTGCCTCCTTCACACCCGCCACTGGGGATCGAGCCCGCAACCCGGGCATGTGCCCTGACCGGGAATTGAACCTCGATCTCCTGGATCCTGGGTTGTTGCTCAGCTGCTGAGCCACACCGGCCGGGCAATTGGAGCATTTTTCTTTCTCAAAGCTTTAAGAGCTTCTTGTTCTGGACTTCTGAACCTGGCCACCCTGCCTCTAGATAAGGCGTCTTAATACCCATGGCTGTTTTTAGTGTTGAGGAGTAATTTGCTTTGCTCTGCTCTGCCCTACACAATCTAGAACTACCTTTCATGCCTTCACTTTTCTTGTAGTTCTCCTGTTGTCTTTTTGGACAGCCTTCTGGGTATTTCTGTAGCTCTATCTTGTCTTTTTTTTTTTTTTTTTTTATCCTTTCTGGAAGAGAATAGAAATTATTATGGGAATGAAAACTGCTTTTATAACTTCAAGTTCGTGATTTGGGCATGTCCAAAAAAAAGGCGGCTGTGACAGCACAGTATAGCTGTTACTGCACAGATACTGGAGCTGTAGTGCCTAGGTTCAAATCCCTCCTTCAACCATGCATGTGACCTTGAGCAAATTGACTTGGGCATGTCTTCCCGGTTCTGGCTTTCCCCAGGCATTTGGTTCCTGGGTGGAATCATTTGTGTTTGGATGTGATCAGTCTCAAGTGGTTGTAGGGGAGGAAAGGAACACTCTGTGGTTAGAGATGTTCTGGGCACGGGGTTCTTCCAGAGTGTCTCTAGCTACTTGGGGCTTTTGCATTATTTCTCTGGTCTAAGCACCTTCATTTCCCAGTAGCTGGGGGCAGGGGAGGTATGGGAGGGTAGATACCATTCCTGCTTGCAGTTTGGGAGATATCCTCCTGACCATTTTTTTTTTTTTTTTAAATATATCTTTATTGATTTCGGAGACAGAGGAAAGGAGAGGGAGAGAGAGAGATAGAAACATCAATGATGAGAGAGTCATTTATCGAACCTGCAACCCGGGCATGTGCCCTGACCAGGAATCGAACCCCAATCGCCTGGATCCTAGGTCGACGCTCAACCGCTGAGCCACTCCTGGCCGGACCCTGACCATTCTTTATATGGTTCATCAACTAGTGAGCTAGAAAGCTATTCTAAGACACCTAGACCTGCCACTTTTTATCCCGAATATTTTTGTGGCCACTCACATTTTCCCAAATGGGGTTTGGCTTATGAATTTCTCCTTCAGTCTGGTTTTATCTAATCTGTCCTTTAGGATTCTTCATAATTTCTTTTTTTGTTTTGCTTTGTTAATCCTCACCTGAGGGTATTTTTTCCATTGATTTTTGGGGGGGGGGGGGA